ATGGTTTTAGGTCCTGAACTGGGTGATTTTAAGGTGGGTTTTGCATGGTGGGAAACTGTCTGGGATAGACAGTTTACGGCAGAGCCTGGAGTTGGGAGACAGAGCAAAGTGAGGGTCTTGAAGTGATTCTGCGGAAGCTGTTTCAGTTGGGTCTGTCTTATCTTCCAGGAGCACATCTTTCCCTCAAGCAGCTAAGGTTTTTTTACATCTGGTCTCAGTTTTGTTTAACATGGGAACAGAAAACTTTGCTTTGTTCCAGTATTACTCAACGTAGGGCAGGAAATTATGTTAGTCTCAATTTTGAGAGATATGAAGGGAAGAGAAGGTGAGAAATAATAAACTCCTTTCCAATACTCAACTGACACACTCAGTATTTGTTATCTAAGCATTGAAAACCCTTGTTCAAATTAACAATTTAATCATACCTCTATTATGAAGAACATTTCCTCCAGGGATATATTTCTGTATCAGGTAATATCATAACAGACTTAGAGAATGTGTTACATTCAATTTTATTTCATTAATCAGATTTTAGTGGTATCTTTCTATGAGGCTACACACTTTTTAAAAAACAAAAATGATGGTCTCTGCTCAAAGAGCTTATAGTCCTAGTATGGGAGGCAGATAATAAACTCCTGGCAATCCATGTAAATCAATATTAAAGCTATGTGTTAGGTTCAGCAATATAGGCCAGATTACGATCTTTAGAGTTCCTTAACTCTTAAAAAATTGTGGTACCTACCCACTACCCTCATATAGTTAAAAATAGTTACTAAACTACAAAGTTGCTATAAGGAATCCTAACGAAGTATTGATTTTTCTCAAGATGACTACATTGATGCCATCTTTAAAATATTGAACACCAATTTTTAGGGCCTTTTCATTCTGTTTCTTGGATTCTGCACTTGCTGTGGCTCTGATTATATGATGCAGTTTTATAACAATAGCACCAGAAAGGAATGATCAGTTTGCCTGGGTGGGTCAACAAAGACTTCAGAGTTAGGATCAGATTCTTGACTTAGGTCTTAATGGATGAATGAGCTTTTCAGATGACAGCTTTTGCTCAGGCAAAGAAACACAAAACGGCTGGGTGAATAGTAGGAGCTTACACCCCATTTGAGACAGTGGTAAGAGTGAAGCTGCCCAGACAGAAAGAGAGCAGTCTTAAAGGAAGCCCAAGCCATCAGTTGAATCAAGATTGCAGAATAAAAGATCTGCAATGTCAACTAAATTAATGTCTTCAAGTCTAGCCCTGAGTTAGCAAAGTTTTTCTATAAAGGGCCAGATAGTAAATATTTTAGGTTTTGTAAGCCATACGGCTCTCTTCCAACTACCCCAGTCCGCTCTTGCAGTGTGAAAAGCAGCTATAGACAATGCGTAAACAAATCAGTGTGCCTGTGTTCCAATGAAAGTTTATTTATAAAAATAGGTGGTGGGGTGCATTTGGTCTAGAGACATAGTAACATCTGACACCCACTAGTCTAGGCTATCAGTTTAACAAAGAGTACAGCATAAAAGGTCTACAATGCAAACTAAATCAGTGTCTGCAAATGTAAGCTATCATGTTATCTGGGGTGGTTGAAATACTGGAAAAGGTTGTCAAGAGGATGTCCTGTGTTGTCCAGGGGAAGAAAAGGAAGAGGTCTGGAGGAAGATGACTTTACAGTGTATAAGCAGGCCCCGAAGAAACCATGACACAAGGACACAGACTCTGTTGTCCCAATCAATTTCCAGTCTAGCTTTTTCATAGCCACATTGAGGGCAACCCTGGCTTCTCCTTCTATAAGGGGGTAAAGGCCCTTCTTATTTCCAAACTCCATTAGACCCAGGTCACTTGCAGAGCACTAAGTCATGCCGAGGATGGTTTTATGGATTTCTCTCCCTCACCACTTCATTCTCAATATCCCTTGCTTCCTTGCTAACATCTGAGATTCTTGTGATGGGGGAATGAGCCTTCTATTGCACTACCAGACATAAAGTGAAAAAATGCTCTTTCTTGGTTGAGGTAACAACCTAGTTGGGGTGCGGTCAGTCAGCAAGTGTAGAGGAAAGGTGGTTGGATCCTTTAGTTTGGTTAGGCAGGACAAGCTGAAGAGATTCCCAGGGCAGGAGCAGCAAATTCAACCACAAGGGGCTTGTAAATAGCATTAATAACTACAAGGACGTAAGGAAAACGAGACATAAAAAACCAGTCATTGCTCAACTAGGGATGATTCTGGTCCTCTGGGAAGGTGGGCCCAGTGTTTCCTTGATTTCTGATTTTTTAAAAGAGAGGTTAGAGGTTTTAAAATGTTTGTGAAATCATCACTAAATGATTTCTAAATATTGGCAACCAATTCAAAAACTAGTTGTTTTATAACATTTTGCAGCCCAAACAAAACACATCTACAGGCTGGATGGTCCATGGTCCACCACTTTGTGATCTCTGCTTTGAAAGCATTTGATATCTGAATTGATGGAAGGGACACTGGAGCATGTACCTTCCCGGGGAGCCCACTAGAGTGCAGAATGCAAACACAGGAACACATCAATTTGGGAAGGTGGTTGGTAGCCAGGGGCTGTCAAGTTATTGGATGTCTCAGATTAGGTAACAACTCCTTTGAAGTTTGGAAAGTATATTTTATTTCCATGTCCTCACGGCTATAGCATGCTGTTTAACGTGCCCAGTTAGGCATTTTCTCCAAAGAGCAATTTACTTTCCCATGGAGTACTCGCATTCTTAATATGTAACCCAGAGATTCCCTTTTGAATACATTTAGATGACTAAATGTTACTGGTAGTATGCCATGGATAGATTTGTTATTTTTCTTCGTTATATTCTCTCATATTTATTCAAAGGTATATTTGAGGTGGAACAATTAGCACTTTATAATTATCATTGTAAATAATAAACATGTCTCCATGATTGACTCTTTTGTGTGATTCTATCACAGACAGGTTGAAATTCCAATGACCCCCTTTTTTTTCCCTTTAGGAAAACATCTTTTATAATGTGTTTCTACACAGTGTGTTCCATGCACCACAGTGTGGTAAATACATTCTTTCACTAAAATAACGCTATTCTTATTCGCATATGCAACTAGCATTTTTAGAAACATCTTCTACACATGTGTATCACATGCTGTCAGTGTGGTGAACACATTCTTTAATGAAATAACGCTATCCTTATTCACATACGCAACTAGCATTCTTAGAAACATCTTTTATACATGTGTCTCTACATAGTGTATTTCATGTACTACAGTGTTCCGCTTATTCGCATATGCAACTAGCATTTTTAGAAACATCTTCTACACATGTGTATCACATGCTGCCAGTGTGGTGAACACATTCTTTAATGAAATAACGCTATCCTTATTCACATACGCAACTAGCATTCTTAGAAACATCTTTTATAAATGTGTCTCTACATAGTGTATTTCATGTACTACAGTGTTCCGATGGTTTTTCATAGCAGTGAGTGCTGGCTTTCCATCAGTATCTATTGTTCCCATTTCCCAGTGTATTTCCCAATTTTTAACTGGGCACAAGGCTGCCCAGAATAAAGACTACATTCTTCACCTCCCTTGCAGCTAAGTGTCAGATGACTAGTATTGGAAAATAGCAAATGAGAAGTGATATGGGCAACTCTGAGACATGTCCTTAAAGGGATGGTTGGGCCCCTTTCTTCATCTCACTGCTTGGAACATGATCAAGATGGCAAGCCACCCTGGATCATGTGGACTGGAGTAGAAGGCAGTGCAACAAGAAAGAGGAAGCCTGGCTCCTGGATGACCTCATGGAGCAGAAATTTCATACTGGCCCTTACACGAGAGAGAAACAAACTTCTATCTTGACTAAGTCACTCTCATTCAGGTCTCTGTTAAATGAGCCAGAGACCTGAATGAACTAAACCTATATCCTAACCTTTGTAAGACAAGCCACTGTATTGAGATTTTTATGAAATGGCAAGGGGAGAAATAGAAATATGTGAAAATGATGTCTATGATCGCTTTTCTTCAGTTTTTAAAATCTTTTTTAAATTTCAAGTCCAAACTAATATAAATACTAAAATAAATACAATACTGAACACGTTCATATTAGCATCTAATGTTATGTGACTTTAGTTAATTTTTCTAGTTTTTTAATCATTGACAGTAGTTGTTTATTCAGCAAATGCTTCTTGAAGAGTGGAATTCTGTTTTAAACACTATGAAGGAAAATTGAAGTGCTATGAGGGACACTTAGGTGAATAAAAAGTATGTAAAATAAAAACAGTGTATTTGTGGAGACAAAATGTTTATTAAAAGCTGGCATGTGATAAGTGCCATTGAACAGGTCCCAAGGAAGGCAGGCTGGCTCAGAGCAGTGACCCCTGTCACCTGTGGGCTTTCATGACTAAGAGGATGTGTGAGCAGTCTCTCCTTTGATTACAGTTCAAAACAGTATTACATTGATAACAGCATAGATATTTTTGTTATTGGATAATTTGTAACTGTTCTTCCAGATTCTGTCCTTAAGCACATAAAATTTTTCTTTGCTTTCTCATCTTACTTTCAGACATATTTTACTGAGATTATGTTCTCATTGTGGTCTTTTAACTAATTTATCTCTAGGTATAAAATTTCCTCATTAATAATGAAATAAAGTAATAATGATGATAAAATCTTTTCTTGGATTGTGAATATTCTGATAAATTATTACAAAAAATATTCCTGATTTATTGGGCAAACAGCGCCCCCTTTTGACCATTGGATCCTATAAAAAATTCTAAGAGTATTTTCATCTCTGCTAAGAATTAAATTATATATGTATAATTACATATATTAATATTTAATTACATATTTATTATAATATCGAATTATATATATATATATAATTTCTAAAGAAATCATCCTGTGTTACCTTAAGAGTATACTGAGTTTTTTTATGATTTATTTTGTAGACTAATGCTATAATTTTCTTAAATAATTAGATCCACTGGAGCGTTTAATGGCAGTTTTGTAAGACCCAAATTTTAGTTTTATGAATCTTCTTTATCCTATCTGATTCAGGTTGAATACGAAGGCTTAAAGCATGAGATCAAGCGTTTTGAGGAGGAGACAGTGCTACTGAACAGCCAGCTGGAAGATGCCATCCGATTGAAAGAGATCGCTGAGCACCAGCTGGAAGAAGCCCTGGAGACCTTAAAAAATGAAAGGGAACAAAAGAACAACCTGCGGAAGGAGCTCTCCCAGTACATCACCCTCAACGATAACCATATCAGCATCTCAGTAGATGGACTCAAGTTTGCCGAGGATGGGAGTGAACCAAACAATGACGACAAAATGAATGGTCATATCCATGGGCCTCTTGTGAAACTGAATGGAGACTATCGGACTCCCACCTTAAGGAAAGGGGAGTCTCTGCACCCTGTTTCTGACTTATTCAGTGAGCTGAACATTTCTGAAATACAGAAATTGAAGCAGCAGCTTATGCAGGTAAGGACTTTCGTTAGGGCAGCTCGAGTCAGTTTCTTGTAGACTGTGTGTAGCACGTTGTGGGATTTCTGATTCTCACATTTTACTTCCAGAAGGTTTTTTAAAATGCTGCTTTTTCAACTAAGAATAGAAAGTACAATATTTTAGAAAGACATGACAGAAGGGGTCTTGAAGAGAAATCTCTCATTTGCGTCACTTTAAGAAATGAATTTCTTAGAGCCACAAATTAGATTCCAGTCAGGTCTGAGAAATGAGAGTCTTGATGCGTTTCTGACAAAAGAATTCAAAAGCTTTATACACAAGTGAAATGACAGAAAATGCAGTTTTCCATCACAAGCAACTGTATACATAGCTTCCAGATTAATGGTTACATTTCACAGGAATACTTTAAGCCTTAAAAGACATAAAGGACTTCCTATATACAAATTAGTTAGGATACCATATGATTAATATAAGGAAAATGAAGGCAGATGATCAGGCTCCATCAGATGTTCAGAATCTTGCTGAGCAGGACCTAGCCTGTTTGATGTAAATACGTTAACTGTATACGTGTGCCCAGGTGTTCCTTGGCTATTGTCTGATGTAATTGCACATGTGTGCCCAAGTGTTCCTTGGTTATCTGACTTGCATCCAGGTGTCCCTGGGTTATCTGACTTACGTATAAAGGACAAACAGCTCTGATTCACAGTGCCCCCAGGATGCCCCTGGGAAGTCACCAGGAATCCACTAGGGCTGCTGGAGGCAGCTGCTGCTGCTGCTGCTGTGGTGGCTGGGGGCTGGGCTCACGTCCAAATAAAGCATGTCAACTTTGCCAATGGCTCCCATGATCTTTCCAATTACCTAGGTCGTGACCTGCATATGAGGGGTCTGTGACCCAGTCTGCACAATGGGCTTGAAGGGTCTGTGACCCAGCCCGACAATGGGTTTGAAGGGCCTGTAATCCAGCCTGACAATTAAAAATACAGGATAGGTATAAATCTGAAACCAAAGGTTTCTTATTCCAAAATGATAGTCCTTAAATTTTTAGCATGTTCAAATCATGTCTTGTGAAGTCCTTGCCTTTAACTTTACTTCATTGTGAAATAGCTTTCTTGTCTGTTTTTTGTTTTGTTGTGGCACCTGGACGGTAAACTCGACTTCTGTTAGCACCATGCTCTAACCAAGTGAGCTAACCAGACAGCCTAACCTTCTAGTTTAGTCTTGCCTCCCTGCCACACCTTAGTTCAATGATAATGGAAATGTTTGAGGAACAGCGGCATCAGCATCACCCGGGAGCTTACTTGAACTACAAATTGCTGGGCTCCAAAGATCTACTGCACCAGGAATCTGGTTTGACAGATTTGTTAGGTGATGAATTTGAGGCTTAATCTTCAATCCCAGGTTTATCCCACCAAGGTTTTTCAGGTGTAGCTGATAATTAGAGGCTAAGACTCTGGTAATCACTTTCTTTTTTTAACCACTGTCGGGTTACAACAATAACAATGCTAATTGTATGGCTAGGCATTTCATAACTAAAGCCAAAACATTTCATTATTTTAGTTATGCTGAGTTTTCCATTTGTATTGTCCAGGCTAGGGGTTAGGGCTCACAGACTCTTCAAACCCATTGAACAGACTGGGTCATCATATCCCTCACACACAGCTCTATGCTAGGTGATTGGGAAAGATCCCAGGAACCGTTGGCAGACGACGCAAGCTCAGTGCTCAGCTTCTTTAGCAGCAGCTTACAGCAGCAGTAGCAGCAGAAGTGGCAGTGGCCTCTTGGGGCATCCTGGGGACACTGGCAGCAACAGCCTCCAGCAGCAGTAGCAGCCTCCCCGTGGTTCCCCGGGGGAGGGGGGGGGGCTGTGGATCAGAGCTGCTCCTCCTTTATACTTAAGTCCATGAGCCAGGACTCCTGGGTGCACATGCACAATTACATTAGACAATGACGAAGGAACACCTGGGTGCACGTGCATATTTATACCAAATGCTCGGCAAGGTTCTGAACATCTGAGGGGCCATGACCATTTTCCTATATTTTCCCTATAACCACCAAGTTGAAAATTTTTATTTTGTTAAGATATACAAATAGAATAAATAAAACAGTCCACAATTCTATAATTTCTAAACATTTAACCACCTGTGGCGTCCATGAGGTGCTCTTGTTCTTCATAGTTCAGAGAAAGTTCAGATGACTGATACTCTGTGGAAGCCCAACTTCTTTTCCTTTCTACCCACAAAATTAATTTGTCTTTTCAGAAGTCTTGCTGGATGTTTTCTTTATTTACCTCTCCATGTTGCTGCTTAATTTGATAGATTTCATTTTTTGTAGCACAATAGACCGTTCAGTTTCATAATTCTTACTAACCAGGGATGCCCACTTGGCTCCATTTCTTTCCATTTAGATCCAGCAGTGAGTTGCATGTTCTTTCCCTGACAGTTTAAATCTTGAATATATTTCCTTAATTTTTGAAGCTCTCTCTCTGCATGTTCAATCATATGAACTAGATTTTCATTATATACTTCCCAGGCATCACACCCATGCTGTGACATTAGTTCCAGATACTCCATTTGAACTGCTTAATGCTCTCATTGGGCCATAGAGTTGTTTACACAATCTTGCCATGCAGCAATGTCATTTTTCTGACCCGAGGAAGGGGCTGGAAGAGTGAATCATTTCATACTGAGTAATTCAATTGGTTGTTGTCTTTCATTATGTCAGTTTCAAAAGCAGACTAATTCGGGACTGTCAGCTTGCTCAGGTAGTTCTTAGTAGGTCGGTATCTGCCAGTTTCTTCCTCCATCAGCACTGCAGCCACTTCCCGCACACAGGAGCTTCATCACCTGATCAAAATACGGCAGCACACCTACCCCAACCCCTCCAGCCATCAAACCTGTGCCCATCATTCTGGGGACCTTAGGTTTGCCTGTGTTTTCTGTGTCTTTGCAGGCTCAGTCCATCAATCCCTTTTTTTGTTTGTTTTTGGTGGCTGGGTGGTAGTATCACTTATTTTTATAGCAAACACAGCCTATAATTTGCTGCCTCTGTAGAAATCATTATGGAAAAATGAAATTAGCAGAAATAAATGAGACCATAGAGCCAATGAAGTGAATTTGTTAGTAGCTTTGTTTTTAATACTACATCAAGAGTTAACATATCCTGTACTTTACCTGCCCGGTGCTTGTGGCTGCGAAAAGAGAATTCGTTTTTGTGGTTTTTAATTTGAGCCAAGATAAAAGGGCATGACCATTGGAAGAAAATGAATTTCATATAGACTTTCACCTGACTTCAAAGTCTGGTTATGTATAGGTAATACTTTCTATGTCTTTTTGCTCAGTTTACACTAATACAACTAGGTAGATAGAAATAGAAGCCATATTTCCTCTTGAAAAAGTTTTACATGACAGCTATATTCATAAGAATTTACGCCCCTGTATTAGTCCATTTGTATTGCTATAAAAGAATACCTGAGACTGGGTAATTTATAAAAAACGGAGATTTATTTGGCTTACAATTATGGGACAGGTGCATCTGGCACAGGCATTAGGCTGCTTCTACTCATGGCAGAAAGCGGCAGGCAGCCTGCAGGCAAGCAGATCACATGGCAAGAGGGAGAGAGAGAGAGACAGAAGGTGTCAGGGTCCTATAAACAACCAGCTCTCACAGGAACTAATGGAGTGAGAACTCAGTCATTACTCCCCCCACCTAGGGAGAGCACTAATCGATTCATGAGGGATCTGCCTTCATGACTTAATCAATTTCCAACACTGCCACATTGGGGATCGAATTTCCACATGAGTTTTGGAGGGGACAACACAGCCAAACTCCATCAGCCCCCACATTAAGTAGCATTAAATAGAATTAATTTTTTTTAAAACATATCATGTTGGTGGCTTTGGAATAAAAAGTTAGTTGGGTTGAGGCTTTTTTTTCTTTTTATTTTTGTGGTAGTGTAGAAGATATTAGTAAGAAGGGCTTTTATACATAAAACAGCTCAACAATTTCCAACCAGGTCATCTACTGGTAGAAAGCTCAGAACTGTTCTCAGATTTAATCCTATACATGACCCGAATTGGGTAATACAGAAGTCTAAAAAAGATGAGTAATTTGGTAAAAAGAATGGTGGGGAACAAGTAAGTTCTCAGCGGGAGAGTGTTCTCAACAGAATGCCATTTGCATTTGGGGTGGGACAATTCCTGATCCTCTGAGACTGTCTCCTAAGTTACAGGAGGTTTAGCATCTCTGGTCCCAATCCATTAAATGCTAGATACCTCTCCTCAGTAGCTGTGATGACCAAAAATGCTCCCCCACACATTTCAGATGCTCTAAGGGTCAGCTACTAGTTGAGAATCATTCTTAGAGGGACAGCACTTTACTGTCCCATAAAATGGGTTTACATAATATGAGGAGACTTCAAAAAGTTTGTGGAAAGATTCATATAATCTTTCAATTCTACTTTTACACAGACTTTTTGAAGTACCCTTGTTCCTCATTAGAGAGTCATGAAGGTTTATGAGTTAATATATGTAAGAGTGGATAAAACAGGGCCTTTGCAACACAGTAAATGCTCAGTAATTGTGAACTATTATCCTTATACCAACTACATAGTGCCTTTAATTTATTAAGCACTCCATTTGTTTAATTGTTATTATTCTTGCTGTTATTATTAACTGTTATTTTTGGACTATTAACTAAAAGTCATCTCAGAAGGAACTGATATGGGTACTGGTAGGAATATAGAAAGGTAACAGTTAAATCTCATGATCCGAGACGGTCTGAAAAGGGATGTTCATTAAACAAAATGTGGGGGTGAGAAAAACTCTGCTGGATAAACCCTCCCTCAGTATACTGGAAAGCTGTGTACCTTCAGATCTTTCATCAGTGCTTGATTAATGCACTGATGTGGAGGGACACAGGCAGGGCCTTATATCCCAAAGTTTTCTCCAAATTTAGTTGTGAAAACCAGGCTCAACACAGGAAGGGATTTGCAGCTTCCAGTCTCACGTCAACAACACTAA